TGATGGAATTTAAATATTTTAATAAAAAAATAAAATAATATATTTTATAAATTAAATTTATTTCCTCGATCAAATTAGTCGTTGTAGGTTAATTGTTCTATTTAAAATCACATTATTTCATAATAATTGCTCAATTTATTCTTATCATTAACCTATAAATAAGAGTTATAAAATCATAAATTCTATAAATAAAACATGTCTATTTACTTAAAGGAGGGAGTTCCTCAACATTTTCTTATTTTTTTCACTTTACTTTATCTTCTAAATATTTTTGAGTAAAGAAAGATGTTTTGAGTTTGGTAACTTTATGGATAATGCAGATTCATAAAGTGTAATTATAAAGTTGCAACATGTTAGGGGCGACATGTTATATATATCTCTGCTGCATCGATTAATCTACTCTCCATAGAGGTGTGAATCACATTAAAATAAGTAAAATTTTCACGCATATTTTGATAATATTTTTTTATCAATATTTTTTGATAAATTCACTAATTATTATTTTATTTGATTTTATGATAGAGGCACAACAATAACAGGACGTAGAAATGAAGGAGAGTCTTGAGGAGCAATAATATCTGTTTCTTTAAAAAAAATGATTGCATATAGATCACCTTTTCATCCATGAACTTTGCCCAGAAACGTGCCCTGGCTCTTTCGCGAGGGACCTGGGGCAAGATAGGATAACCTTTCCAAGTTTCATCGATGTACTCGAGAATAACTAGGGACGCCGCAATTGGTTTTCTATTGTGAAGGAGGACAGGGATATTCTTGTGCACGGGATTGTATTTCAGAAGCAGAGGACTCTTGTTCGACAAATCTTCTTCATTTAATTCGTATGGAAGACCTTTGAGTTTCAACGCAATCTCTACTCTGCGCCTAAAAGGACTTCCCCATGTTCCAAACAGCTTCACTTCACTTCATCTGCCATGATGCTGTCCCTGTTGTCCTAATCTCTGATGCTATTTATTGAAACCAGTTTGGATCTAAATTGCTTTATTTTGAGAATTTAATAAATTGCTCCTCTGGGTTCGGTTAGAATATTTAAGACAAAGTCCAATGATTCGATGCTTGAGGCATCTCTCTCAAGAGAATCACTAGCAGAACTAATTAGAAAAACTTTAAGATTTGGATTCTTTCACGAGTGATTGTTGTTTTGTAAATGAGATTTAAGTCTTGAGGTTGTACTGGGCTAACATAGGGTACACTACGAGTG